GATAGGGTCGCATACAGTATAGCCCATGCTAACTTAGCACGTCTGTATTTTTCTCCTTGCAATTTAGTGATAAAAACACAGTGAATATACCTTTTCACTTTTTGAAGTACACATAACACTCGGATTTAAATCCGAGGTTTCCGCATTTATTTTAATTTCTTTTTGGTATTTTTTAATTTGTTTTTCTCATATACATAAAGCACACCTTCGTATTTTTTTTACGGCAGTAAATCCTGCATTCGATTTTTTTCATCGATTAACTAAGTTATATATGTCTTAGACAACATTCTAACAAATGTCGATTTTTATTTCTTTACTTTTCTTATTCATCTTTCTCGAGTGTGTAGTACGTTCGGACGTCTTTCTTTTCGTCTAAAGTAAAAGAAATGTATTTATTATGCATGCGCGGACGGTGTAACAATGTGCCTATACATTCTATTTTTGTTTATTTGCGTACATATAAATATATGTATATCGGTAGGTTGACCTTTTATGTATTATCTTTAGATTTCTTTTTATATATATATGCATAAGAAACAATTCTATTCTCGACGTGTAGTTAATCGACGTCAAAGACGTTTAAAAAAATTAGAAAAACAAGAAAATTATTTGAATTCTTCAAGTGAAAATGATAATGAAGATTATAATGTTAATCAACATATATATGATATAAATTCCATGACTTCCAATGATCTTTCAGCACTTCATGATGATTTAAATACATATAAAAATTATCATGATGATGAACATGATAACACCAACAAATTAAATGATTTTCAAGATACTATTTTTGATCATTCACCACCACTATATGATGGCTGTCGATTCTCCACAATTAAATCAGTTAAAATGTTAATAAATTTTTTTTGTCGAATTAATTTAGATAAACAGAATACTATTAATCTAATGAAATTAATAAAACTTATATTACCAATTAAAAATACATTACCTACATCATGGAAATGCATAATGAAATTATTTGGAAAAACCAATTTTTCATCGACGATGTTTTTTTGTTCAAAATGCTTTAATGAATGTGAAAAAACAAGATTTAACACCAAAACTTGTATGAATGATAATTGTTATTTATCAAAAAGAACTTTAAAAACAAACGAGATCGTAGAAGTAGTAAATCTTGATATTCGTAGTCAAATGAAGTCTATTATTACTCGGAATATAAATTTATTAACCCAAAGCTATGATTTATTTCCACCGTCTGATGTAACCTCAGCCTCTCTTTATGGAACAACAATATCAAATACAAAATGTAACATCATTACAATTATTATTCACACAGACGGTGCTCCTTTAGTACGTTCAAGTAAACAATCGATATGGCCTTGCTTTGCTTCGATTGTTGAATTACCTCCTCCAATAAGGGAACACCAAACTAATATAATGCTTTTAGCTTTATGGTCGGCTAAAGTAAAACCAAATGTCAATGTATTTCTCGAAAGAACCATGTAAGTTATTTAGATAGTCGACTTGTTTCTTATTCATAAACGAAGTCGAGCTCAACTTTTAGAATTACAATTACTTACTGTTTTCTATTCATTTTAGAAGTGATATTAAACAACTTATGACTCATGGTACATCATTTTATATCAATAACATCGAATATAATATTGTCGTACGTACCCAGTTCTTTGTGTCAGATCTACCTGCAAAGGCACTATTCTTAAGAACTACGAATTACAATGGTTATTTTGCATGTAATTATTGTTTGACAAAAGGTATATGCCATCTCAGCCAATGACTGAATGTCGAGTCATTGAAATTTTAATATTTTAAAACCTCGAATAACGTCTACTTCTTTTTCTTATTAATACTGAGTCTTATGAATTTAGAGTGTAGTGATGTAGATATTATTTTGTAAGAGCGATTATAAGATGATCAAATGAATGGAAGACTTAGAGGCTTTACACTAAACAATACAATTGAATAAATAAATGTTACGAAATATATTAGACTTTTGAAAAAATTCAAAACTTTCTTTTTATTTCAAATTTTTGACGAGTACTCTCACCATTATCAGGCAATAACCACAAAAAAAAGAAAAATTATTCATATATACAGATATAGAACAAAAAGGACAAACAAATATAATTAATTATCTTACAAGATAAGTGTAATTGAATAAGCAATTATAATTTCGCGAATATGTAATTCTTGATTGAATTAGACTTATCGTGTAACATAATTAAATGTGTTTGTTCTTTTTTGTCATATATCTATGTATATGTATAATTTCTTTTTTTTGTGCTTATTTCCTTACGATGGTTTATGACTGACCAATAGTTTTTATTTTCTTTATAGGATTTTGGAGTGGTTCATCTGTGCTATACCCATATGATAAAAATAATTTAGAATTACGTACCCATTCAGGGTTTATTGCAGCGGCTAAATCAGCCGAGGAAAAATCAACAGAAAAACGAGTTGCAAATGTAGAAGGTGTGAAGGGTTTATCATGTTTATTAAAAATTATTTCATATCCCCAACAAATTGTGCTAGATTATATGCACCTCGTGTGTTTAGGTCATGTACAAACTTTAATTAAAAGGTGGTGCCAATTAATTAACAAAGCTGATATAATGAAAATGGATAGTATGTTATCCATGGCACGTTTTCCACATAACATACATGTTATGTACAATGAATCAATTTTGGCTATTGACTCATGGAAAGCTAAACACAGCAGATTGCTGGTCCTGAATCTCGGTATACCTATAGGTGTGTTATCAGTTTCATGCTTTTTCTTTCATTTATGAATTCGTGACATAAATTAAGAATTATTATTTCGTCGTTTTTCCTTTTCTCTTAGGTATAGCTTGTCTACCTACATTACATGCATCACATTGGACAATTTACTGTTTGTTTGTTAAATTATTGCATGCACCACAATCACTTGAAGAGATAGATTTTGCTGAAAAATTAATTAATTATTATTGTCGTACAATTGTTGATGTTTATGATGAATCATTAGAATTATTTTCATTACATGCACATCTCCATTTACCCGGTCAAGTACGACTACATGGTGGTTTATCAACATCATCAGTAAGATATTCATTCGTTAAATAGAACATCAGATGATAAATCATAATTTTCTTTATCATAGGCATTTACATTTGAGTCTTGTATTCGATATTTAAAAAGTAAGGTGCATGGTACAAAACATTTGGCTACACAAATAGCTTATTGGTATGATATTGAAACCATCGTCAAAACTACAACATTTGAATTAACAGCATCATGTGGTGTTAATGAAATTAATTTTTTTAATGAAAAAATGAATCATTATCGTAACATAATAGTTGCTCTTCTTCGTACTCATCAACAAGATTTAAACCAAATTATATTTTACACACGTTATAAGAAATGCTTTTTAACTTTCCATACAGTACTTTATGATAAACCATATAAATGTCGTAGTTACATCGTATCATACATTAATAATAGTGATGATAATGACGCGCTCAATTATGCAAATATAATTGTATTTTATAAATATCACAATGATTATTTTGCACTTATACAAAAATACCATTTTTCACGAAAAAAGCTCTCGCATTACGTAGAATTACCTGTAGAAATATGTCAAAAATTGGATAAATTATTTCCATTACTTGAATTGTCGGATGATTACGACATTATTCCTGTAGCAATAGTTCGCCATCAATGTGTAATGGTAGAATTTGAAGATGTTTGTTGTTTATCAGAATTAAGAATTGATTCTGAACATGATTAAATAAAATATTAAATAAATGATTTGACTTAATACTTTGTTGATATTTTGATAGAGTATGTTTGTTGTTATTGTAGATTTAGTTTTTATTTTCAGTTGTTTTACGCCGATTTTTTTCGAATGACATCAACAAACGTATACGAAAAACATTATCTTACAAAGTCTCGTACAAAAAACGATGATAATGTATATGTGTTGATATTATTTAAATGTGACAATACGTTTATTATTAAAAAAAAATCAAATCTTCATGGTATTGCAGAAAATGGCCTAGTGACGATCAAAGATCGAAATAAAAGTTACGTTGGTTATTGTTTATTTGAAGGTGAGTGTTTGGTAAAAAGATACCGTAATACAGCCCGTGAAGATTTCTATTCCAAATTCTTACATATTATAGGATCATTGGCAGAAGTAGAAGCTGCAGCTAAACGTTTAGATAAAGAAATGAATACTGATTTAGAATCAGACTGTGAAAGTATTATGAACAATCATAAATTAAACAAACAACAAGGATTGGGTCAATCTTCAATATTAAAAACGCCAAACAATTCAAGTATTGAAATTGATCGTTCAGCAACAATGAAAAATAATAAGGTTCAGAAAAAAATAGATAGTGGTAATGCTTCCAACAGCAAGCATTTAGAATAATTAATGATAATTTTCGTTTACTTTTAGATTCAATAGATTCAACAAAACGATCTTTAGCTATGACGTCTTTTGATAGTAAGATATACATTGTATTCTATACATGGAAACTGTTTGGATTTCGTTGCAGATGCATCAAAAATTTATGAAACACCACCAATTTTAGATAAGACTATTCAGAAAAAAAAAGTACCGGAAGCATCATGTAAACAAGGTAAGGATTATACAGCATAATAATTTTACTGGTATTGTTTCTTTAGATGTTGCTCCTGCTTATCAAGTCCTACGTGATATTCAATATGTAACTAGAGATGAAGAAAATCGAGAAAGTGAAGAAACATTATCATCGTATGGCGATGCTGATGATTTTGAAACCGATGATGATGACGACTCAACAGAAGCAATAATTGGTAAGACAAAGTCATTAACATCAGCAGCACGATTGAAATCAACATCAGTTAATAAAGTTAAATCACAGCAATCCAAACAATCTTCATCATATGCTTTAAAAACAACTTCGAAACGGTTGTGCAATAAACAACTTTTTCCTTCAGCCAGTGATGGTAATCAAGAAATAGTGGTATTATTAAAATCATTAATATTAACAAACAAGGATTTAGCAAAGGATATGAAACTATCATTACTTGATATAAAACAGTTGTTTGTATTGGTCGAGAAGTTGGATGCGAAGCTCAATTTGATATTTGAAAACCAAAAGAAAATACAGCGAGCATTAGCAAAAAGAAAAGTGAGTAAAATTTTTTAAAAGAAGTTTTCAGAAAAAAATAAAAGTATTGTACCATCTTTTAGATTAATGTAGCACTATTGGGTGGTGATTTCGATACAGAAAATCAACCACAGAGTGATGTACCATTTCAACAGTCGCTAGTAAATTTTTCATATTAGTCTGCTTCCTTTTATATTTCTTTAGTTTTAGAATTACCAGAAGGAAGATGGTACAACTATCGATTTATTACAATTATACGGCGTTCGAACACAGATAGGACGTTTCGTCGCTCTGGTGATGGATAATGTTTTTACAAAACATGAACTATGCACCATTACAACAAGTCAATTAATAAAAGATGAACGTTACAACACTATCAAGGGTAGAAGAATAATAAAATTGATAAGTTTCATTATTTTGATATTTACTTTTTTTAGAAACTGTAAGATCAAGGTTCAAACTAAATGCGGAAGAAATGAATATTGAATGGCCAACGATTCATGAAAGTATACTTCAAAAACGACGCAACGAAAGTAAAAAGAAAAACGGTAATACCAGTGCCGTCAACAACAATCAATTACCACCACAATAAACAAATAATCATGATATTGTTCAGACTGATACAAAAGTTAATTTTAAAATTGTCTTTCTGCCCTAGTTTTTTGTATATTAATATGTTTGTGTTCTACGTGAATTTTTTTTTCATGTACTTTTTGTGTATATTGTATCACATATGTAATAACTTACAAATAGAAAGAAAAATAAACAAATGATACATGAAAAACCATATTTATTAATAGATGTGTCCGACCTAATTTTTTTTTATATGGCTGGGAAAAAGAGCCGTCAGTTTACCCTGATTTATCGTCGGTTGATTGTGGTCAACCACGGTTAACTGTGGTTAATCACGGTTAACCGTAAATTTCCCGGTTAATCGCAGTATACCGAACGGTTAACCTCCCGATTGACCGAACGGTTAACCGTGGTTAACTGACCGTTTTTTACCGGTTCGAGCGACATGGGTTTCCTCAATTTACTTCGTACAATAAAATTCAAGAGATTTCTTGTTATCAACAACAGATTAAAGAAATTCTATTAGATCGAGAACATAGGAGACAAATGATGTTTTGGTTAACTGATACATCATCTATTCAAAGTTTAACTGAAGAACAACAAAAACAAATTCTAGAAGAAGTCGAACTTTGCTTTGAGGAAGATCGTACTTACACTGATAATTTAAATCTTGTCAGTGTTTCCGAAAAAGAGAAAATTAATACATTATTAACATCTTGGCAATTGAATAAGAAACTTCGATCGTTTTTAAAAATCATTGAAACAAATCTTTCGCTCGTTAAATTACAAGAATTCAAAATAAGATTAAATATAATTGGTCAACAATTTACAGTTGAGAGAAATGAAAATCACCATAAAATATTACTCAAGTCGACGATTCTACCAATTGATTCTCAACGGCTAATCAAGGCTCAACAAAGATATTTTAAATCTTATTCAAATCAGTTAATCAAATCAATTAAATCACTGGAAAATTGTAATCAATCAAAAGAATTTCCCGAAGAACTTTTTCTTTCTACAAATAATGAAAATAATTCTCTTAGTAGTATAATGAATTATTTTAAAAACAATTTAAAAGTCAGTTGGAAACAGTTTCAAACTGCTAAAGAAATCTTAATAGAATCGAATGCCGCCCAAGATGAAATCAGTAAACTTCTTGTCTTATTTCGTCAAGAATCAACTGAATTCTGGGCAGAATTGATACAATCGATAAAATCATTCAATGAACTTCTATTTAAAACTGGTCTAGTTTTAAGAATTACACCAACAATTCTTATAAATTTGCTTCATCAACTCTGGTTAAATGAAGAACATCAGGAGCAATCTGTCGATGAATTATCATCAACAAAACGATCAAAAAAAGAACAACCTTGTGAACTTATTCTTACAAAAGAGCAATGTGCACTCTTAGGTGGTACAATAGTTGATTGGATTATTGAACAACATATCGAAAGAGCTTTATATTTTGCTTGTCATCAAAGATGGGAAGAGTTTAAAATGGAACTATCGAACACACCTCATACAAATTGGATACCCGCTGAACATTTACCATGGTTAATCTTAGAATTAGAAATGAATATTACCATTCGAGAAATACAAATCAAAGTTGTACGTCATATGATGGAACCACCAACATCAGCAGATGATAAAATTGCTAAAAATATTGTCATGCAAATGAATATGGGTGAAGGTAAAACTTCAGTCATTATACCAATGCTAGCACTTAGTTTATGTTCATCATCGTCAAGTTTAGTTCGGGTAGTAGTATTGAAAGCACTATTGACAATCAATTATCAATCATTGCGATCAAAATTAGGTGGTTTACTCAATCGAAAAATTTTCCCATTTTTCTGTCGTCGAGATATGAATTTTAACTTGACACAAATCAACACCATCTTTCAACGATTTCAACAAGCTTTAATAAAACGAGATGTTATTATAACAGCACCAGAATATATTCTTTCATTTGATTTACTTACTATTGATAAATGTCGTCGACAAGAACTTGAACTAGGCAAATCAATGTTGAACATACAAAGATGGTCGAAAAAATATGCTCGTGATGTTTTAGATGAATCTGATGAAATTCTTCATGTCAAATATCAATTAATTTATACTGTTGGTGGTCAGCTACAAGTTGATGGTGGTATTGAACGTTGGAAAACTATTCAATCTATACTACATTCGGTCAAACAACATGCTGCTAGTATTGCTGAATCATACGAAAATGACGTATGCTACAAAGCATCAACAAAATCAAGTCATTTTCCAGAATTTCGTTTGTTATCAGAACGACCATTTTTAAAATTATGTGAAAATATAGCCAATGATTGGTTAAATAATAAAGACTATCGTCAAATAGATAAAGAACTGATTTTATCATTTATATTAAAGGCAAATGTATCATTTAATACACTTCAGCATAAATTTTCAACTCATGTTATTCAACAATTTCTCATTCTTCGTGGTCTTCTATCAGCTGAAGTACTCTATTTTGCTTTGAAAAAACGTTATCGAGTTAACTTCGGTGTTAATGAAAGTTCTACATTCAGACGATTGATGGCCGTACCATTTCGTGCCAAGGATGTCGCTGCTGAAAATACAGAATTTGGTCATCCAGATTTAGCAATTATTTTAACACAATTGTCTTATTACTATAGTGGTTTAACTGCATTACAAATTGACCAATGTTTAGACAGATTAAATCAACATGAAAGAGAACCAGAATTAATTTATGAAAAATGGATTTCAAACGAAGACAAGAAAACTATTGATTCAAGTATTCGACATTGGAAAGGCATTAATTTAAGAGATAGTCAACAGAAAAAACATCATCTACATCCTGTTCTCCGTTACAATATGGTAGTAATTGATTACTTTCTCGATCATTTTGTTTATCCTCAAGAAGCTAAACAGTTTCCTCATAAATTAGTCGCATCTGCTTGGGATTTATCTGCATCTTCGCGAACAAAAATAGTCACTGGGTTCAGTGGTACCAATGATACACAATTATTACTACCGGTTCATATTCGACAATGTGATTTGCCAGAACTTCAAAAGACAGATGCAATCGTTTTAAACAATTTGTTACAGTTAGAAAATGAAAATTATCAATCATTAACGATCAATACGAATTCTTATGAAATTCTGAATCAAATTTTTGGTAGTAAATCAATAATTAATGTCATTATAGACGTTGGTGCATTGTTTATTGATGGTAGTAATCGTCAGATTGCTGTCAAATGGTTGGAACTATCGGATAAAAGCAAAATAGATTATGCTATATATTTTGAAATGGATTCTATTTTTGTTTATAATCGTCAAGGTCAACATCATCCATTTCAAGCTTCTCCGGCTAATGAACGACTTGATCGTTGTGTAGTCTATTTAGATGAAAGTCATACGAGAGGAACAGATTTTAAATTTCCAAATGATTTTCGAGCTGCTGTTACTTTAGGCAATGGTTTAACTAAAGATCGGTTTGTACAGGGATGTATGAGAATGAGGAAATTAGGAAAATATCATTGGTTAACTTTTTGGAGTTCACATGAAGTTGATCAACAAATTCGAACATTGAAACGTGCTACATCAGATAAAAGTCAAGATGATATGATTCATGTAATTGATATAATTCGTTGGGTATATGATAATACACAACAAGCGACATGGGATGGTTTACATCATTGGTCAACACAAAGCTTAAGTTATCAACAAAAAGTCAATGCTTTTCGACATGTTCAATGGACTAATAATGAACAACAGTTTACAGCTAATCTATTGCATGAAATAGCTAAACATTGTTTAGAACCAGAAGTAATATCATTGGAGAAAATGTATGGTCCACAAAAATTATTGCAAACGATTGAAGAAATTTATTCTACACGATCGAAACAACTTAGTTTATATTTGAACGATGAAATTCATAAGGCGGTATTAAAACGATTAAAAGATTATGGTGGATCGAAAAAAATTCTCGCTAGCTCATCTGATGAAGAGCAACAACGAGAATTACAACGAGAAATCGAACAACAAATTGAGGAAGAACGACAACATCAACGTCCTATAGCTGTCAGTCCTCAGAAACCAAAACTACACGATGAAATCAAGCAATTGTGCAGTGCTGATGGTCCGATGTTGCACTTAGAATCTTTAACTGAAGTATTTCGTCGCCTTCCTTTTGCTTTTAATGGTTCAACGTTTTCTCAAGATTGTCAATCGTCTAGTTGGCAAAAAAATATTTGGATTTCAACTGAATTCCAGAAAGTAATTCGAACATTAGGCGAATCGTTAGACCCATTTTTGAGGCCTCCACGATGGATTGTAGTCTATCGAAATCAACACATTATCTTTGTGAGTGCTTTTGAAGCTAACTGGTTGATCAAACAATTGAAAACTGAATTCTATTCAAACAAAATAGATCAATCATATACTACTACCCTTCGCTTGCTACTACCACGTATTAAAAATGATCAATCAATTTTAGTTAACCAACCGACATTAACAATTCCACCATCGATAGTCTCTGATGGAATATCTCATTTTATTATTCCCAATGAATGGTTAGTTGAATTATTGATTTTCAATGGCACTCTCTATTTTGAAACAGCGGACGAACAAGAAGCTTATTGTCAATGCTTGGGTGTGTGTCCAAAGCCACGAACTAAGATTGAAAAAGATGCATTTGAAAAAGGATGGATTTTAGTAGATGGATTCATAGCACAAGAAGATCATCGACAACTTTTACACAGGCATAGATGTCGTTTCACCGCTAATCCGTTACGATTTATTCAAAAACTAATCGAAAATCGAACTGGTTCACATGCACCTCGTACTTCCCATGTCGGCAGTATCATCTTTGATACTACCAAAATTTTATCCTAATCATTTTAGTAATTCCTATGAAAATCTTAATTATAAAAAACTATACTAATCAACGTTCTATGTTCTACGATAAGGATGAGTGTGGGTGTGAGTATTTTCTTTAATAACATGTACACAATTGCTCCCACATCCCTAACGAGTCGCATAAGGATCTTCGATAGAGCAAATGAAGATAAAGCGCTACGGGTATCTTGAGGGTGTGGAGGCGGTCCTACCTTTAACTTCTGGAGACCTACACCCACATCCAGCATATTAATTCATAAAAAGTAGAGTTGCATTTCAATCGTAATTCAATTCAAGGCTCACTTTTATTTGGACCTATTTGAACCGATTCTGATATTCCATGAATGCTGACGAAGTTTGCATAAAGAATACCCGCTTGATAATTCTCTTTAAACAAATATAAATGTTTCCAATAAGCCGAAAATTTTAGAAGATCTAAACAATTTTAACATAAGAGTTCATCGAAAATGCAATCTTGAATACAATTGTACAAGCATTATAAATGAACTTAGCATATCAGAAGATGTTGTTCATTTAGTTGTGAAATTTTTGTACTTGATATTGGCAATCATTCATCTTCTATGAACACAATTCTAGAGTATTTTATGCTCGAGTATTTACAACGCTGATTAATAATCATGCATTTTAGCAACGAAAGATGTTAATTATTTCAATACAATGCATGTTCAACTAAAAACGACATATTTCAATTGTTTTTGATATAGAACGACCTTTCATTAAAATTCATGTTGGTAAATAAGTTTTTCAAGCATTGGATTGGAATAATCATCATCGGAAGTGCTTACTAAGAATAAAAAGCTTTTTTCCTAAATCTTTGAACAGATTAAAGTTTTGTGAAATCTAACAATATTAACTCTAGATGAATTTCTGAGAGCTAACAAACAACCATACATATTGGCATCAGATTTCTGCAAGTTGAACTCGATACTGAGATTAGCTTTGCAAATATTATTTTCTTTTTTTGTTTTTGTCATTTTTCTAACACAGAATAGCAAAAATAAAATGATCTTCAAGAAATCATCATCTCAAAGAAGGGTGGATGTGGAAAATAGAAGGTTGATATCTATACCCATACAAACCTAATAATAAATATTTTGCGATACATTATTTTTAATAACTACAACTAAATAATTTGCTGATTATATTTAAGAATTTTCGCGACTCGTCATGTAAAGTATAAACTGATATGTTTTATTTATCATTAATAAATTATATAAAAACTTGTTCAATGATAAATTTACTAGATCATCATATTTTACTATTCATATAGTAGTTTTTGTTTATTATATTAGATCAAAGTAAAGACAGCTCGGTTTCTGACTTGATCAATTTAAATCAATGTTACAAAACATCAATATCTAATTAGATTTCTTTTAACATAGAGTAAATTTTATTTTTGTTCGTTTAAGGTCACCCCTAAAAATAGGATCTTCAAACTAGAACGCACTTTTGAACTGAAACTTTGTACATATGTTGAGGGTAGATCATCACGCATATGAAAAAAATTTCAGTCGTATATCATGAGGTTTGGCTGAGATGTTCATAATAACAAGGATTAAAAATAGTACATTTGACAAACCGAATTTTTCGGTCCAAACTCATTCTGTACGTTCACTTCTTTTTGTTTGAAAGAGCGTTTCAGGATGCAGGACGCAACAGAGTTCTTTTTTCTAAAATTCTTACTTTTTAAGCAGAGAGAAGGAATCGCAAGTTCAATAACTTTAAAAAAACTTTCTAAATAAATGGTATTGTTTCCTAAAAAGGCGTTTTCTTATATGGTAATAAAAAAGCTTATTTTTAAAATAGAACGATGAGAGTCGCTAGTCCTAAACACGAGCTTTCAAACAAAAACAGAATCTATGGGCTACAATCAAACTCCTTCGAGAATTCTTGTCGAATAAGGGATGACAGAAATCTTCAAAAATTTTTGAAAAAAAAATGAGGTGCCAATTAATAATTTTTGCTACCTTTGAAAGACCAGATCACGGACTATCTTTTCTGTATTTATCTCAATTTCGATTATTCTGGCGAAAAGTAACTTTTTGGAGGAAAGGGATGACCTTAGATGACAGAGAACAGGTTTTATTGCATGATTGATCTATTTTTATTCATCGAATTATCATATATAATATTTATTCAAAAAAAAATACAACCTGTGGCAACTCTCTCAATTTAATATCATTATCATATTTGTTGTCACAGATTTTGGTCGAATGGAACGTTCAATAATAATCAGCAAAAATGTCCATGTTCATTCGATCACTCAGTAGCATTATGTGAAAGTTGATGTTCTATTTCTAATATCACTATCAAACCGAATGGAAACAAATCACATATTTGTTTCACTTCTGGATCGCCATAGATTATATATATATACAACGGTAAGTGGACAATACAACTGAAAACATTGATTGAATATCTAGACAAGAAGGTGTTAGCTCGCTTCGACGAGCTTAACTTTGTTTATTTATTTCATATGTTAAATCTCTTCAAAATGTCCTTAAAATCACTAGGTATATATACATCCATAGAGAGAAGGAGAAGAACAAGAGAGAAAGAAGGGGAAACAACAATAACAATAACAATACAGTAGAACGAAGAAGAGAGAGAGAAAGAGATAGAGAATCGAGGGTAGGCAGAATGTGAATCACCGTTAACATTCCTCCCCTCTTATGATAGATGTGTGTCCGCATACATTAAGACTAAGTTCATCGATTCGTTCAGCTTTATGACGTATGGCATCAATAAGATAATCAAATAGATATAATTTTAATCCATAATCATTTTCAAATAATGAATCATAAAAACCGTACATGATAGTGTGTCTTTTGTAAATAAATAGGCTAATAATTTTGTCTATTGTTGTTAATTATCTCTACGTAAATGATGATGTATATGTGAATGCATATTAGATAGAAAATTTAATATTAATTTCGTACACATTCATATGACGCTCCATGATTATCATTTTTAATTATGTCAACATCATATCATAGATTAGTACAGGTCAAATATATTTTGATAATTTATATATATAAGTTGAAGATAATCATTACTGTATTTAATATATGTAACATTAGTTCATGTATAGCAGTTGAAAATTTAAATTTATCATCAATTTAAAATTTAAATTAATAAGCATAAAGATAATTGTAAACCAATTTTTGAATCAGTAAAATTTTTGATAATAATGAATTATTTCTTTTGCTGTTGTTCTTTCTTTTATGTTTTTTCGTTGTTGTAGTGGACTTAAATGATGTTGGCAAATATTGATGTGCTAGATGTATATGTATCACGTTCTTGTTTTGATGTTAGTAAAGTTATCGATCTGGAACACGTGCGTCATTCGTTGCACTGTATAGTCTGGCCGGTGTTGTACAAGTGCCTCGATTATAGTGCACTGTGATTGGATGATGAGTCATTTCGTATTAAGTGATATGAAAAAAATAAAAAATAAAATGTTCGAGGTCGACAGCCCCTCCTTGTCAGTGAGAAGGTGAAATTCTGTCTCCCCGGCATGGACTGCTGAATCAAACTGAATCATTTTCACTTAATCATAAATGATAATTTTTTACTTTACTAATTATACTATCTAATCAGAGATGAGCACAGGACAACTTTTTCTGTCCTGTCCTGCCCTGTCCTGTAGTCAACCTCCGTCCTGC